TTGGAAACTGCCTGTGTCAGCTTTTTAGGGCGCTTTTATTTTCATAATGAGAAGTCGCTTTTATTGGAAGGGTAAACAGGAAACTATTATCTGCCCAGACTGAACGGCCTCCCAAAAGGGCCCTTTGGACTCTAATTAAAGAACAAAGCATCCAGCCTCATCAGATTGAACTCAGGAGTCACCTCTCTCTGTCTGTTTCATCTTGCAATTCTGATCAAGGAATCAGAGGGAACGGGCCAGGCAAAGCAGCTGTTTGAGGGATTTAATGAAGGGATTGGGTTGCACCCACGGCTCAGCAGCTGCTCGGGTTAAGGAGGATGGGACGGGCGCGGCGGCTCACGCCTGTCATCCCAGCACTCTGGGAGGCCGAGGCGGGAGGATCGCTCGAGGTCAGGAGTTGGAGACCAGCCTGACAAGAGTGAGACCCCGTCTCTACTATAATAGAAAGAAATCTAATTGGCAACTAAAAATATATAGAAAAGCCGGGCGCGGTGGCTCAGCGCCGTCATCCCGGCACTCTGGGAGGCCGAGGCGGAGGATCGCTCGAGGTCAGGAGTTCGAGACCAGCCTGAGCAAGAGCGAGACCCCTGTCTCTATTATAAATAGAAAGAAATTAATTGCCACTAAAATATATATAGAGAAAAAATGAGCGGGCGTGGTGGCGATGCCTGTCGTCCCAGCTACTCGGGAGGAGGCTGAGCAGAGATCGCTTGAGCCAGGAGTTGGAGGTTGCTGTGAGCGAGGCTGCCGCCACGGCACTCATCTAGCCCGGGCGACAGAGTGAGACTCTGTTCAAAACAAACAAACAAACAAACAAAAAACAAACCCAATTTCAGTTAGCTATAGTCATGTAAGAAAAGAAAAAAAAAAAAAAAAAAAAAGAGAGGGGCATTGCAGAGGCTGGGCAGCTAGCTGCTGGTTTTGCAGACTCTGAGATCTCATTCTGTCACTCGGCCAAGGAATGAGCTGTCAGCCTCTTCCCAGCCCGTCTTCTGGGTCTTCCCCTCGTGCCTGCTTCGAGCCTCGCCCCACCCAGACTCTATGACCAATCTAAGCCTCATCCTTTGTGAACTTGTTAGCAATGCAGAATCCCAAACCCCACCCCAAACCTTGTGGATTAGAATCCCCATTTCAGCAAGATCACCAGTCTGCACATTCAAATTTGTCACACGGCCGGGCGCGGTGGCTCACGCCTGTCGTCCTGCCACTCTGGGAGGCCGAAAGGGGAGGATCGTTGCAGCTCAGGAGTTCGAGACCAGCCGAAGCAAGAGCGAGACCCCCATCTCTACTAAAAATAGAAAGAAATTAATTGGCGAACTAAAAATATATAGAAAAAATTAGCCGGCGGTGTGGGCATGCCTGTAGTCCCAGCTACTCGGAGGAGGCTGAGGCAGGAGGATGCTTGAGCCAGGAGTTGGAGGTGCTGTGAGCGAGGCTGACGCCCGGCACTCACTCTAGCCTGGGCAACAGAGTGAGACTCTGTCTCAAAAAAAGAAAAAAAAAGAAAAAAGAAATCCTGCTAGGGCTTGTTTTATGGGGAGGGCTTATTTTCGGGGAAACGCGGTACTTGTCATCGGCTGTTCTCTGAGGTTTCTACATTATTGCTGCTCCTGGCTTCCTCTCCGGGCCACCCTAGTGGCGGCCAGCCTCTCGGGGTTCTCTCTGCCCCTCTTGTCCCCTGTGCGGAGCTATCTCCAGTGCTCAGGTTATGACCCATGACCAGGCCTGGGGACAGATAAGGCTGATCTTGCAGCCTCTGAGGATGTCATACCCACTCAGATCCACACGCAAATGCAAACGCAATTTCTTTTCTTTTTTTTTTTTTTCTTTTTTTGAGACAGAGTCTCGCTGTGTTGCCCGGGCTAGAGTGAGTGCCGTGGCGTCAGCCTCACTCACAGCAACTCCACTCCTGGGCTGGAGCGATCCTCCTGCCTCAGCCTCCCCCGAGCAGCTGGGACTACAGGCATGCGCCACCAGGCCCGGCTCATTTTTTCTTATATATTTTAGTTGGCCAATTAATTTCTTTCTATTTATAGTAGACAGCGGGGGTCTCCCTCTTGTCAGGCTGGTCTCGAACTCCTGAGCTCAGTGATCCTCCACCTTGGTCTCCAGAGTGCTAGGTTACAGGCATGCACCATCGTGCCCGGCTACTTTTTCTATTTTTTTAGTTGTCTGGCTAATTTCTTTCTATTTTTTTTTTTAGTAGAGACAGGGTCTCCCTTTTGCTCAGGCTGGTTTTGAACTCTGACCTTAGCGATCCTCCTGCCGGGCCTCCCAGAGTGCTGGCATGACAGGCATAAGCCACCATCCTGCCTATGGATTTGAATCTCAATGAAATGGGAAGCTTCTTGGGAAGGGAGGTTTTTGGTGGGTTTTTTTTTTGTTTTTTGAGAAACAGTCTCGCTTTGTTGCCGGGCTAGAGTGATGCCGTGGCGTCAGCCTGCTCACGCAACCCCCATCTCTACTGGCGGCCAACTCCTGGCTCAAGCGATCCTCCTGCCTTAGCCTCCCCCCCCCCACCCCCCAGTAGCTGGGACTACAGGCATGCGCCACCACCGCAGTTTTTTCTATATATTTTTAGTTGGCAATTAATTTGGTTCTTTTATAGTAGAGACGGGGTCTCGCTCTTTCTCAGGCTGGTCTCGAACTCCTGAGCTCCAGTGATCCACGCCACCCTCGGCCTCCCAGAGTGCTGGGATGACAGGCGTGAGCCACCTCGCCCGGCTACTTTTTTCTATATATTTTTAGTTGTCTGGCTAATTTCTTTCTATTTTTTTAGTGCAGACGGGGTCTTGCTCTTGCTCAGGCTGGTCTCTAACTCCTGACCTTTTTTTGTTGTTGTTGTGGTTGTTATTGATCAAATTTATATTTCTAAATTTTAATTGTCTTCTTCTATCTTATCAAAATCCTGTGCGTGAGATAACTCCTGCCCTCGAGCGATCCTCCCACCTCGGCCTCCCAGAGTGCTGGGACGCAGCAGGTGAGCCACCGCGGTCCCGGCCTGTAGATTTGAATCTCAGTGAGATGGGAAGGGAGGTTTTTGTGCAGAAAGAGGATAAAGTTGCCGCATGTTTGTAAATCGATGCGCTGCGTCGGTCCGTAGGAGATCAGCAACCTTGGTCTGTCTGGGACTCAGGGGTTACACCTGGATCCCCCAGACGTCCGGTGCCGAAACTGGGATTGTCCTGCACAGAGCGGAACAGAGGTTCTTACCTCTATGGTTGCTCACATAGAGGTAAGAACAGGTGTAGCGGGAGTTCATGGAAAGTCCTGTTTAACTGCTTTGAGCATTGCCAAGCGAGAAAGGGCAGCCCTCCCTCAGTGCATTCAGGCCATTGCTCAGCATTTCAGTTACCTGAAATCCAGGGTTTTGCAACGTGCAGGACGCTTACACGGCAGAGCCCATTTCTGTTCCGGAGGGGCTGAAGGCTGGCAGGACACGAAACATCGACTACATACCGAGGAAACCAATCGTGAGATGCTCGTCGATGTGGTTGTCTGTTTTGAGACAGAGTCTCATCCTGTCACGCCGGGCTACAGTGAGTGCGTGGCGGCAGCCTC